GGAAAGAAATAAACAACCCCCATCAACTCATCTCCAACAACCCATATCCATCGAGTCAAGTCATGAATACACACACCACCCCCTCACACGAAAATGTACGCAAAAACCACCCACATAACCCAGATGACAGCTAAATCCTGGAAAACAATACTATCATCCAGCGCACGCATTTCCGACCCACTCTCCGAAGTATGACTAGCGTCACTTGTCTTGACCGGGGTAGTTTCTGTCTCAGGATCATCGTCCCCCACACCCGTAGATGATGTCGGAGTGCCCGTTTCAGTAGCAATGATTGTGACGGTCTCCGGCGCTGCGACTTCTGTAAATCTACTGGCGTAGATAGTCGAGGTAGAGGTTGACAAAGGCCCGTCATAACCACCAGCAGCAGAAGCAGCAGCGGTAGGGCTATCCATAATGGAAGTAGGATCAGAAGATAAAGTAGAGAACCCCATATCCTGGATGGAGAAGGAAGGTGAGGGTATTCTTCCCGGATCAGAGCACGCACGTTTACGTAGAGCGGTTTTCTCTTCCTGCTTGGTTGCAGTTTCGAATGCAGGTGGAGGAGTAGAGGTCATGCTCGGCAGCTTGATCAAGGTGAATGATGGTTTAGATGTAGATGAAGCCTTTCGCAGATGAGTAGCCGGCAGAAGAGGAGGAATAATGGGGAGCGTAGGGCCAGCGGATGGATCTTCTGTCGGAGTGAAGAGAGGATAGCCGTTTTCTTCTTGCTCATTGTTGTCAGGATAGTCTTCGTCAGAGTCGTCATCGAAGTCTTCGTCGAATTCTTCGTCGAAGTACTCGTCAAAGTCTTCATCAGAGTCGTAGTCAGAGTACTCGTCAAAGTCTTCATCATAGTTCTCGTCAAAGTATTCATCAGAGTACTCGTCAACGTCTTCATCATCGACATCCAGGTCGAAAGCATCCTCTGCATCACTGGAATCGTCCCAAGTCTGGTCGTCAACCTCATTCTCGTCATCGCAGAGAATAGTCTCCGGCACAGAGACAGGAACAACATCTCTGGACTTCTTAATGATGGCATAGCCGGTTCCATTGAAGGCGCAGAGAGCGTCACCAGCCGATGAAGTGGTTTCATAACCTGCTCTTTCATTAGTACTGGATTATATATATTTGGGATGTAAGTACAAGTAGCTTTCTCCTCATAGCCCTCGGGGAGCAGGTCCTTCAGACTATATATCCCATTACTGTGAGTAAATTGCCTGTTCGTTAGAGGGAAGAAGCCCAGCGTACAAGAGGTTGCATGAACTGATCTCCACAGTGTGCTGAGATGCACAAGTGATGATAGTCGGGCCCTCAAGGGAGCCGGAGGCGCAGTAGCTGCCGCCAGGCTTGGAGCAGACGAGCGAGTTAGTCTCAGGGTCACTATTGCTCCGTTTCATTTTGGTTAGATATTCTGTTCGTTGTAGGAGAAATAGGGAGAGGGTAGGCAGACTATGCTATCTGCGCAGCGGCAGTGAGCAGGAGTGCCAGTAAGGTGGTTAGGGCAAGGAAGTTGGGAGCCATGGTGATGGTCCTGATCCTGGCGTTGGGATACTGGCGTTGTTTTGGATAAGGAGATGAGAAGGATAAGGGTGACGGAAGCAGTAGAGAGATCTGGAGAACTACGTAGTTTGGATCTGTATGTTTCTATGTGAACGCGCCAGGCGTCTTCGACGCGTCTGTGGATAGCTTCGCGACTTGTGTTGCATATAATGCAGTGAATGGACATGCCAATGGCTCATGCTGCTTGTGCTTGAGTTCACGTGGTAGTACAAATAGTGTGATAATGTTCATAAGCAGGAACGGCAAGTTGGATGACCAAATCAAGTGTATTAGCATTTGCGACCTGTGCCAGACATGCACAGATGGAGTCTATAAGATGGTATAACCGCAAAAGCAGAGACAAATCGGACGTGGTCCAACAATCCAGCCGCAAGCAACTTTTTATCCCAAATCAGCCCTGTCAAAACGCCATACTCGCCGATAGAAATGCATCAATTCAAATCCCAATCATGACCGGCTCTGCTGCAACTTGCGGATCCTCCGCTTCAGGTCTCCTTCCGTCTGCTGCATCGGGTTCAATTTCCGGTCGCGAGCCATAGCCGAGTAGTTGTCTCCGTGCTTCTCAATCAATCTGGTCACCCACTCCTGCTCTCTGGAGCTCTGATGGCGCGGCTTCTTCGCCCGGACGGCCACTCCCTCCTGCGCAGCCTGGCGCTCGAGTTGCTCAACAATACCATTTCCGGAGGTGTTTTGGCGGGGTTGTGTGACAATCTCATTACTCGACAGCTCGTTCAAGGGGTCGTTCAGCGGGTTGTTGCGCTTGACCTTGCGTCCGGCTATTTCGACCTCTTCGTCGGCCGCACCGCGAATCACACGCAGAATCTTGCCGGTCTCGGGGTCACGCTCAACCTTGATTTCGCTCGTGGCAGTTTGCTTGGCGAGTGCCTCAGTGCTGCTCTTGATGTACAAGGAATCTTCGGGCTCTCCTTGGATACCGTCCGCGGTTGCGCGCTTCTGAGAACCACCGGAGGGAGCATTGAGGCGGTGGACGAGACCCAAGCGGCGGTAGTTTTGGGTAAGGGTTTGCTTGCGGTCCCTATCGAGAGCAGTATTAGTATACAGTCCAAAGGTAATTCCTCTTCCTGATTTGTTCTCTCTGATCATCAACGTACCAGTTTTCCGCAATGATAGCATTTCCCAAGACATTGATCTTCTTCTTGCCGCTCTTAAGGAGACCGGCTCTCTTGGCCTTTGCCTTGGGCAAAGAAGATCTCTTCTTCTTGGCTTGTCTGATGTTAACCATGGTGCCAGATATGGAATTGGTATATCAAAAGTGGGGTGATGTATTCAAAGGACCGGAATTGAAGCTCAAAAAATTGCGGCGACAGAAAACGGATCTTATCGAGTTTGCATGTTTGCACTGATAGGGGCTTGGCGTGTTTGCTGCAGGGTCCCGATACGGCGATAACAAATCAAAGCCGGGATTTGGAGATCCGAGAACGGCGCATCATATTTATCTCACCGGCAGCTATTCCCCTCTTGTTTCTCTCTTTCTTTCAAGTCCTCTTCTACTATTTTCTGGGGTAGCCTAAAATTGATCAATTGCTACTATGGCACCCTCTTTCCTGGCTCCAGCTCGGCGCATGGGCCTTGCGCTCGCCGCGGGTCTCGTTCTCTTCTCCGCACTAGCTGTTGCGCATGATGCTATCTCTGTAGGGGACATGTCCGTGGGACAGATTGAGGAGGAGTTGCAGGTACGCCCGTGCCCCCTTGCATCCTTGATGTTCTGTCTGGGATGGAGAGCCATCGATCTTCCCACGACTCCCTCAACATACCCATTGGGTACTAATGCCATCTAGAACTGCCCCCTCGTCGAGTCCCTCAATGAGCATAAGCGCGCCGCAGCCCCCCAAACAACCAGCCTGACGTCCAAGATCTTCTCCATCCTCTTCCCCAGCAGCCCTGCAGTCAATGCTATCCTGGCGACGATCTACATCTCCGGCCCACCCAGTATGTGACTTCTCGCATCAAACCTCCAACAATCATAACCATATCCCCCCGCACTAGACTTCCTCCTGGCCCTATGCCCTCCAAACATCGACCCTTCCTCCCTGTCCGTCATGGTCGCCTTCGCCGTAGGCGGCCTCCTAGGTGACACCATCTTCCACCTGCTTCCTGAGATCTTCCTCGGCGAAGACTCCCCCGACCACGTCCGCTTCGTGATGGTCGAGCCCAACCGCAACCTCCTCCTAGGCCTCGGAATCATGGTGGGCTTCTTCACCTTCGTCGCAATGGACAAAACCCTACGTATCGCCACCGGAGGAGCAGGACACGACCACTCCCACGCCCACGCCCACGCCAACAACGACGACCACAAACCCACCGGCACCACAACCGGCGCCTCCCCGCAACCCTCCACCTCACTCAAACAGCGCAAGCCCGCAAGCAGCACCACCACTCCCCAACCCACCGACACCGACGACGACGAGAAGGAAATCAACCCGAGCGTCAAACTCGGCGGCTACCTGAACCTAATCGCCGACTTCACGCACAACATCACCGACGGCCTCGCCATGTCCTCCTCCTTCTACGCCTCCCCGACCATCGGCGCAACCACCACCGTCGCCGTCTTCTTCCACGAAATCCCCCACGAGGTCGGCGACTTCGCCCTCCTCATCCAATCCGGCTTCTCGAAACGCAAAGCCATGGGCGCCCAGTTCGTCACAGCCATCGGCGCCTTTCTCGGCACTTTCATCGGCATCGCCGTCCAAGAACTAGGCGGGAATAGCTCCTCAGCAGCAATCACCGATAGTAGCCTGCCCTCCTCTGGCCTCCTCGGAACAAGTCTCACCTGGGGCGACATGCTCCTTCCCTTCACAGCGGGGACCTTCCTCTACGTGGGAACCGTCTCCGTTATCCCGGAGTTGTTGGAAACGGGCAAGGATAAACGCACGGAGATTAAGAAGACCATTGTGCAGTTCTTGGCTGTTATGGTTGGGGCTGGGATTATGCTTGTGTATGTCTTTTTCTATCCCCTCCCCCCGCCTGTCCCTTGGTATGACGTGTCGTGATTTTGCATCGCTAACGGTTGGAATAGCATTTCGTGGGATTAGATCACGAGTGTAGTGTGGTAGCTCGATTGATTGACGATTATGAGAAGAATGCATGTTGAAAAATGTAATGAGATGGCTGGCATATGGATATAGAATTAGTAAATAATGATGGTGTGTGGACCGTCAAAGAATAGACAATTTAATATGATCGAGGTTTTTAGATGACTACTCGCAGTATCCGATCATACTACCACATACTAAGAGTTCAAAACCTCTGACATAGTATTGCCTAGATCGACCCTCCTACATAATTACGAGCCCATTGAACAGTTAATATACTACGTATGGCACACTACTATGGGGGAGTAATATGTATAGCAAATGAGCATAAAACCTAACTATTTATATAGTAGTAGTTGTTGTAAGACAGCTACTCAGCCAGAAACACCAGAACCACTAAGCGCCCAGCGCGCGGACATAACATGAAACTAACTCCTCGGGTAGATGTAGATGGATAAAAGCGTAGTCAGTAAGTAGCAATAGTAGACGTGGATCGTCAACTAATATAGTCTAATCAAAGCAAAGTAAAGTAAAGCAAAATACATTCTTCATTCCGGTCTATAGTTGGTGTTCGCTTCATGTGAACTCATCTCGTAATTGGAATCTATCGCATCACTCGTTATAGTGATACACCTATGTGGCCATAGCGTTAGTGGGGTCAATCAGATTGAAGAAGGAATTGGGGGGGGGGACATACAAAGTAATCAGGCAAGCCGTAGACGGAATATCCCAGTCGCTTCGCCATCTTAGCGAAGCCTTCCGTCTCGACGAGGTGATAGAATGGGAAGGCGGGGAACATGGCGCCGTCGCGATGCACATCCGCCTTAACAAGGAGTGCGGTTCCACCGACGCCGTCAAGTTCCATTTCACGGCTAGGACGGGGCGCTCCGGTATTTGCCATGTAGGCCATCAGGGTGCGGTAGGTGGGCATCTCGGCGTATCCCTCGAGGAGGATCTCATCGGGTCCCATCATTCCCGCCAGCTCTTCGGCGGTCGAACTGTCGATCCACGAGTTGAAGTCGTAAGGGCGGACGTCCATCTTCTTGGTATCCTTGTTATAGTAGCGCTGGAAGCAGTTCGGAACGATCACGGGTCGGTTGTGAGCAGTCAGGTCTTGGATAAGGGTCGCTGGGGTCTCGACAATGTCGGAGTCGAGCCAGAGCACCCAGGAGGTGCTGGGGCCGAGGGTGGTGAAGAGGAGGCTGTTGCGGGCGCGACTCATGGACTCACGACGTGCTTTCTGGTTGGACATTTTGTGGCGCTCTTTCTCGTCCTGCGATTGAATGGGCGGGTCGAAGTCCTGGCGAAGGATGCTGATACTGGCGAAGCGGCTGTCAACCGGACCGGACTGAGTCTCGCTGATGGCCTGTTCCAGCGCGGTGACAGCGGCATCACCGTCCTTGGTTTTGGGAACGATGAATCCAATCGAGATAAGCTCGTGTGGGTAGCTCAATTTTACAACATTGTCCCAGAACTCTTGGTAGAAGCGGGCCAATGGGGTCAAAATCAGCACCCGTTCCCCTTTCTTGATAGATTCGCTGGTGCTGCTGAGCTCGTTGAGATTGTAGTGCATCACGGGCGGAGGTGCTTTCTGGCCATCTTCGCGGACGGCTTGAGATTTGAGGAAAGGTTTCGTCGGAGGAGAAAGGGGATGTTCGGCGGCATCTTCTCGTCGTAGTTGCGAGGAGGAATCGGTGACAGGAGCGGCGGCGGCGGCGGAGGAGGAAGGGGACAGCAGGAAGCAAAGGAATCCGAAAGCTAGCAGGGCAGCCAGGAAGACCGTTATGGGGCTTGTGCGACGCATCGAGCGTGCGACGGCCATCGTAGCCGTTTGCTGATCGAGGGAGAAGTAGGAGGTTCGCAGTGCAAGGTGGTGGTTGTGGTTATTGTTCTGCGCGATTGAATAAGGCGGCGACGGCGGAATCGATCTGGCCCGGCGAAAAGTCGAGTGAGAGCTCTTTAGCCAGCAATCATAAGGGGAATGATCCGGGCCCCGGACATAGCGGAAGAGACTGTAGAAGGGGAAGGAGAGTAGAATGAAGAAGTTTGAGGTGGATGAGCGGAGGATGAGGCGGGAGAGAAGGGAGGGCAGATTGGAGATGACGGGATGGAACGAACCAGGGCCAGATTGAAGCTGGCCGGAAAAAGAACACGCGGAGCCCGAACTCTCGTCTCTCTCTCACACTCCTCTTTCCTGCTTACCACAACATCCTGCATCTCCTCCCACCGATCTGGATCAGCCAAACCTGATTCCTTCGTAGATAAGACTCCCAGAGTTTTTGACCCATGGATCGTACGAGGTAGTGGAAGGTGCCGCAGTGGCTGCATTGGGCGAGGCATCGCCGCATGCGGCCGTTGCAACCAGTCTAGATTTGATGAATATCCCTGCTGTGAGACGCGCCACGATCGGGCCCGCTTTATGGGTTGGCTGGAGAAACCATTCTATTTCTATCGTCTATCACATTACAACGTAGCTTTTCTTCGGGATCTATTGGAGTCCCGTTCATCTTGATCGTTCGGGTATAGCCAGAGTTCTGTAGCTTCACCGTCTCCTCACGGCAGCCACCGCATCACACCCTCAAATGCAACCAAAGCCATAGCATTCGCCGGGAATGCTCGTAAGAAGCATGGCACAAACCCTCGCCAATATCCTCTCCACCCTCGTTCCCGATAAACTGCCACTGCAGCATCCTTCCACCATTGGAATTTGCGCTGCCCGTCGCCCAGTGCGCCTCCCATCGGGTCCGTCATAAGGCGTTGCTTCACCACATCGGACGGATACGACGTGATCCAGAAAATTTGTGCGGAAATCCCCCCGGCCCAGAAGTTGATGGCAGGGGCAGACAGACTGGTCTTCTCCTTCATCAACCGGGTCAGGACGTCGTAGGAACCCCACCAGAAGAAAAAGAATGACCGAAATACCATGGTCGCGCATAGTCCACGATATAATCCAGCAATGCCGTGGGTGCGAAGCTATAAATATCGAGTCAACCATCAAAACTCGGACGCTTTGAGGGTTTGTATTTCTTACCATCTTGCGAACACAATCTATAGGTCCACTGTACAGACGTTTGGACTTATCCGCAGAGTACTGGATCTGAAGACGCGCCTTGACGTGCTCCACTGGTGCGGCAATGAAACTGACCGTCGTTCCAGCCATGATGCCTGCAATACCATGACCGAAGCTAGGGAGCGTGTGAAGATCTGTCTGCTTGCCAATGAACGGCATGCTTGCACGAATTTCTGGTTTTGAAAACACGTTTTCCAGTAACAGTCGGCGATACAAGGTTAACGAACCCAGCATGCTGTGTTTGACCGATCAGTCCTTCTGTGTCTTTATGGGCCTTTTCCAGCCGTCGGGCAAAGCTACTCACACAGAGTCCATGACCATCCAACCGACCAGCGGCGGAGTGGCTCCCTTATACAACCCACTAACACCCTCCTTGCGGACTGTTTGTAGCACGCAGTCCAAAGGACCCCGGAAATGCCCATCATGGCTCGTCTGTAAGCGCACCTTAATGGTGTCGAACCTGCGAAATCCATCCATGGTTAATTTGTGTCATTATAGGGGGTTGTCCATAGAGAGGTAGTATAAGTGGTAGGGAAGAGGTAGTAGGTGCGTGATCACGTACGGATGGCCAACTATGAATCAGAAATTGTTAGCGATGGTCACTTCAAGACGAGACGAAAGCTCGCGGACTATGCCCGGCGCTGGCAAGAACATACCACTTAATTTGGCAATCCCGGAGAAGACCCCTGCTACAAAGCCTTTATAGTCATGCTTAGAGCTTTGGGGCTTTGGCGGACTGTGCTTTGGTGTGTCGGCCTCGGTCATATTTCCGGAAGAACGTTGCTCTGCTATCCCGGATGTTGTGGCAGTCGGCAGCGGTGCGGACGTCGACGACATTATCGACAGTGGCAGTGCTCGTATGTCGCAAAAGCCGGTATGTTTCTCCCTCCCTATTAAGACTGAGTGGGAGTGTCAATTGGAATTCGGCTGCGTTGGACCGAGGATCAAAAATTCGTGGTCTGTCGGGGTCCGCTATCGGACAAAACAATGGGCGGGATTAACGAGCGCACAAGAGGTCCATTGATGGTTGAGAGTCACCACTTCTAACAATGATAGGGAATAAGGGGAATAGTTCTCAGGGCATGTAGATGATGGGCAGTTGTAGGAGAGAAAAAGATGCCCCAGCGGAGTAAAAGGCGAAAGACGGGGGAAGAGGAACAAGCAGAGCAAGAAGATGATGCGCCCCGCAAAAACCCGGCGGTTCGGGGAGCAGCAGCCCAGCTCCGACCGGATAGGCGGCCGATCGGGGGGCAAATGGGTTGGGGGAGCCACTCAGGTTGCTCCAATCCATTGCGACTAGTACAAAAGATGGAGTACTAGACTAGTAGTACAAAGTAGTGGTCACTAGATATGCAGTAATCATCTACAATTGCAATTAATGAGCAGTCGGCAGGTCAGTGCGATTGCTTTTTCTGAAGGTTGATCGAACCCAGTAAGTTCATTGCCTATTTCGCAACTAGCGATGAAACACCTCTCTCTTCTTCTATACTGCTTGTCGCTTTCTTTAATCGACTTCTTAGTATATAACAATCTGAGCGAAACGTCGCATTCCAGTCCCACCTCAAGGATGACAGGCTGTTTCTGTTCAATCCATGATGATACAATGCCCGAAATAACACAGTGTCGTAAGAAATAAAAAGGCGCAATACACAGTTCTGGAAACAAGGGAGCGTCGACCCCAGTGGGAAGAATAGCAGAACAGGACAGGAAATACAAATACCCGGGGAAAGCCCACGGATCAGCTGCGGGGTATAGTTGCATAATTTCATAATACATAGATGTGGTTTTATAGAAATGCGAAAGGGAAAAAAAAAAAAAAATAAAATCGGCACGAATGGCCTCGAAAGAGAGTCGAATCATATCATGCATCAAGCACATAATCGATGCTGTCCTGCAGGCCACCGATGGCACTCCATGTGACCCGGAGTCCGAAGTCCGAGGTCTGAGTCATGTCCTAGTACATAACTTTGCTGACAACCAGATGCAAGAGGACGGTTGCCGCTGTGGGTGGATGGATGGACGGCTGGACGACAGCTCTAGAAGCCTTTGAGGGGCTTCATGGCTTTCTGTCGGTTGCGTTCGGTCTCCCGAGCGATTAGCCTGTCCACCATATCTGGGGCCGGCCCAGAGTGTTCTCGAGAGGAGAAGTCGGAGGAGCTAGAGGGGCCCGAGGTCAGATAACCACTGGCCTCTTCCAGCGCCAGCGGGGTTACCGGGCCAGGGCTGCGAAGAGGGTCAAGTCGCGGAGCGGATGGGCCCGGCGATAAGGTTCCAGGAGTCTTGGGCAGGGCAGCCCCATCCACAAAGTCTCGATACTGCCACATTCCATCACGGGAGCCAGAAGACGTGCGATACCCATGCTGTCGAGGCTGGCGTGGTGAAGACGGCTGTGCCTGAGTGCTGCCGGAAGACTGATAGACTGCAGGATGGAATCGTGGCAAGCTTCCTAAGTGGAAGGCAGGCATGGACTTGGAGGTGCTTTGTCCCTGCGAGCGAGAGGGCTGCGGGGAGGAGGGACGTCCAGCTGGAGACATGGCGGGGGAGATGGCGGACGGGTAGAAAGTTGAGCTGTCAGAACGCATTCTGGACGAGGGTGAACGATGAGGGTGGTGATGACCAGATCGACTGGTCTTGCGATGGAATTCCCTTTCTCGCTGCCCCTCGGGGGTGTGGTCACGATGGGCAAAATAATAGCCTTTATCAAAACGCCCTGTTAGAGGGGTGACGGGAAAGTCTTTATCGCGGAGGGAGGGAGACGGCTTGGGGATGGGAATAGGCCGGGAGGTTGACTGAGTGAGAGTGAGGGTCTCGAGGGAGTCTGTTGTGTCTGAGCTCGACGAGTCGGGGGAAGGAGGATTATATGTAGTAGATGAGGTTGCGGTTAACTCCTGGAGCGATGACAACGAAACGCGGGTGGGGTGACCGTGTCTGGCAATGAGACTTTCTAACTGGTCTCGGGCACAGAAGCTGGACGGCCGATAGGAGGGCGACCAGGAGGAGGAAGAGAGATTGGCTAGTGGCAGCACGCGATCAGCATGAATCATTGGGAATGTGCAGAGGTAGATGCCACACGTGTCAGGTGGGGGATCAGTTTTTTTGGTGCAGTGCCAACAACTGAAACGCAACAGCAAAGTAAGACTTTGACCAGGCAATGAAGACTAAAAAGTAAGAAGAAAGCAGAGGGGCCAATCAGGATGTTGACGTTGGGAGGAGGGCTGGGTGAGATCTGCCTGAGAGGAGTGGGGAAGGCAACGAGGCATGGTTGGACGGAAGGTTTAATGGAGGGGGGAAGGAAGATGAACTGGTTGATTGCAGATGGAGAAGGAGAAGGAGAGGAGAGGAGACTGATAGTACTTACTGCTGAGCAATGGCGGAGAGTGACAGGAACTGTGTGAGGAAGGATACAGGGAAGGCGAGGAGAATGAGGCGGACGGAGAAGAAGAGTGTGGAGAGGTAGCCATTGACGAGGGAGGGGGGTTCCCTTTCCCTTATGAATGATTATTTTTTTTTCTTTTCTCTTTCTCTGTCTTTCCTTTTGCTTTGTCTCTTGGCCCTTGTTTTTTTTTTTGTTACCCTCTTTTTTCCTTTCCCCAGTTGTCAGCACCGTAAGTGGATAAGCCGGATGGGACGATGCCAATCCAGGCACCCCCGGATGACTTCTCCCTGACAGTGACAGGTACAACTGTGTCTCTCCTCCGCGGATGCCGCCGTCGCCGTGATACAATGACTCAGGGGAAAAATCATGCAACTCCCCTCTTTCGGTCTTGCCTCACTCTCGATACTGCCGTTTATATTCTCTCTCTTTTTTTTTTTTTTTTTTTTTTTTTTTTTTTCCCTTTTCTCCTCTGTTTTGATCCCAAACTCTA